CCAGCTAATTTTTGTATTTTTAGTAGAGATGAGGTTTCACCATGTCGGCCAGGCTGGTCTCAAACTCCCAACCTTGTGATCCACCCACCCTGGCCTACCAAAGTGCTGGGATTACAGGCATGAGCCATTGTGCCCTGCTTGGCAAAGGCATTTTTAACTCTGTTGAGAGAACAATCTGTATTTACACATCAATTGTGATAACTCGGCACTGGGCAGCCAGGCGCATCCTGCCCTCGCAGACCCTGCGGAGAACCACCACCCTCTTCTCTCTTTATTTAACAAATATGTAGCCTGGTTTTATTCACCCTTGCCTTGAGATGGGGAATAGATCCTTCACAAAAAACATATAGTAAAAGCAAAATGTGTCTTATCACGTATGCATTTTAAACTACGATAATGATATGCCTTGATCATTTCCACCTCCCTCTTCATTTACCAGCTGGGGAAATGGCTGAGGTTTTGGTGACCTTGCTGCAAGCCCCTCACCTGTGAAAGGCCGAGCCGGGTCAGGACGCCAGGTCTGTTAGAGCTGGAGCCTCATCTGCTCACTGCCCAGCTCTGTGCCCCTGGGATGGGGGGTCTGGGACAACACCGTGACATTTTTAGAGTGAATTTATATCACTGAAGTGTTAAACTTTCAAATAGATCAGCAGGGCTCCTGACGACACCAGGAGACGGGATTAATTCTAGGCTGAAAGCGGGATGAAATTCTGCTGCTCAGAGAGGTTGGACTATCTGCCCTTGGCTACACAGCAGGCAAGGACCAAGAGGAGGGTCAGTGCTAGGCTTTCTGACTCCCCGGGGCCCTCCCTGTGGGTGTGTGCATAGGTGAGGAGGGATGGGCTGGAGGAAGGCCTGCGATGCCAGGTCTCCAGGGTCACTCTGTGCTGGCTGGGACTGTCCCTGAGACCTTCACTCCAGGACCGGTGGGTGTGTAATAGGCCTTGGGGCATCCGCTCATCCTGCCCTCGCAGGGCCGAGGGTCCCCACTCAGCCTCACTAGGTGCTGAGGGCTGCGGACCCCCACTCAGCCTCACGGGGGCAGCGCGGCCGCACTCAGAGCCAGTGAAGGGAAAATAACTTTTAATTAACATTCAGGACTCAGCATTGGATCACGCAAATCCCCTGGATCTCTGTAGCTTCTGCTGACTGTTCTTGATTAGGCTTGGTAAAAACAGCCTGGTGGCATGTGCGGCAGCGTGGCTGGCCTTTACCATGCTGCTGGCCCCTCTGCCCACTCCATCCCACAGCGAGGCATGGACAGTGTCCTGGGGCTCCAGCCCGTACCTGTCTCCAGGAGGACACACCAAGGGCCATCCTAACCCCGAGTATTAATGGACACCCCTTCCCCATGACCATGTCACCTGGAAAAGCCACACCAGGGTGGATGGACAGCCTCCCTGCCAGGGTCATCCATCCATCATCCACCCACTAGCCTGTCACCCCGCCGGCCTGACCAGTGCTGCAGATCATCCCCTGGCCTCTGTTAGACTGGGAAGTGCCGCGGACGTTGGCTGAGAACTAGACATGTCTGCATAATCCTCAAGAGATGCTGCTGCCCTGACCATGATCCGGGGCCTGGGGCCTGCCTGAGGTCCCCTGGAACCAAGGATGGGCAATGGCTCATCTCTGGGAGGCGCATGAGGCTGCTCAGCCGCTGGAAAAGCACAGAGATGTGTCTCTCTAATAACTGCCATGGGAACCCTCTGCCCCAGCCCCAGGATGAGCAGACCCAGGGTGGTGTGGCTGGTCAGCAGTGGCAGCGAGGTCAGCTCAGTGCCAAGGGCTGCTTAGCGCTGACCAGTGCCGGGGGCTGGTAAACGCCGGTGGCTGGTCAGTGCTGGTGGCTGGTCAGTACTGGGGGCTGGTCAGTGCTGGGGGTTGGTCAGTGCCGGGGGCTAGTCAGTGCTGGGGGTTGGTCAGTGCTGGGGGCTAGTCAGTGCTGGTAGCTGGTCAGTGCCGGTGGCTGGTCAGTGCTGGTGGCTGGTCAGTGCTGGTGGCTGGTCAATGCTGGTGGCTGGTCAGTGCTGGTGGCTGGTCCGTTAGGTCTAGTAGGGCCTCTGCCTTGGCCTCCCAGAGTCTTGGAAGGGGGCCCAGAGATGAGGGGTAGGGCTTGCAATGGAATGATGGGATTCTCTGATTTCTGGGATTTAGGACCACAATTCCCCTTGTTTATCTTCTGCCCCCCAACATCTCAGAACCCAGCCATCCCCATCTTTTGTTCACTGGGACACTGAGGGAGAATCCGGCCATCCCCACCTTTCATTCACTGGGACACAGAGGGAGAGCCCGGCTATCCCCACCTTTTGTTCATGGGGACACAGAGGGAGAACCCGGCCATCCCCAGCTTTCATTCATGGGGACACAGAGGGAGAACCTGGCCATCCCCACCTTTCATTCATGGGGACACAGAGGGAGAGCCCACAGAGGGAGAACACAGCCATCCCCACCTTTCATTCACTGGGACACAGAGGGAGAACCTGGCCATCCCCACCTTTCATTCATGGGGACACAGAGGGAGAGCCCACAGAGGGAGAACACAGCCATCCCCACCTTTCATTCACTGGGACACAGAGAAAGAACCTGGCCATCCCCACCTTTCATTCATGGGGACACAGAGGGAGAGCCCACAGAGGGAGAACACAGCCATCCCCACCTTTCATTCACTGGGACACAGAGGGAGAACCTGGCCATCCCCACCTTTCATTCATGGGGACACAGAGGGAGAGCCCACAGAGGGAGAACACAGCCATCCCCACCTTTCATTCACTGGGACACAGAGGGAGAACCTGGCCATCCCCACCTTTCATTTATGGGGAAACAGAGGGAGAGCCCACAGAGCGAGAACCCAGACATCCCCACCTTTCATTCACTGGGACACAGAGGGAGAGCCCGGCTATCCCCACCTTTTGTTCATGGGGGCACAGAGGCAGGAATTCTCCCCTGCAATGTGCTTCAAGTCACCTTGGGCCAAATGCAGAATTCTGTGGGGGACTCAGTGTGACTCCCGACTGGCCGTTTGTCAGAGGCATGTGCAGGGCAGGGACATCCTGCTGGCTTGCATCTTCCCTCACAGGGATGCTGGCTCCAAGAGAGGCAGAGACGCCTGCTCCACACAGCCTGAGAGGTCCCCTTCTCCTCCCCCTCCCTGCCATCACTTCCTTGTCTTTCTTGGAGTCAGGGAGGAAGGACAGCTGGGGCTGCCGGGCCAGCTGTGTGGGTGAAGCCCTGCTGAGCTCTTGGGCCTGGGCATTATTATTCTCCAGGGTCCCGGGGTTCGAAGCTGCTTCGCCTTTATCCAGACTCCCCAGAAGCCTGGCCCTGAGCCTCTCCTGCTCATTGCCCACTGGCCAGAAGAGAGCAGATAGAGACTGAAGCAAAGAGAGAAGGGGGTGTTTTCTAAACCATCTGAACGCCTTCCTGGCCAATTGCATGAGATCTGTTGCATCCTGGGACTCTTCCGGGTTAAATGCTCCTCAGGCTCCTGGTTGCCCTGGCCACTTGCTGCCTGGGATTTACTGCCAGGAGCCTGGGGGAGTGCCTGGAGCCCCCCATCCCAGCCGCAGTGGGGCTGAGCTGGCTCTGTCCGCGGCGATCTGCCATCTGCCCACCAGATGGCAGTGTGTGCTCACAGCTGCCTCTGCCTAGTGCAGCTGCCCGGGGTCTGGGTTGCAGGAGGCCCAGATGCAGACGGGAGGGTGCTGTGGCCAGGGGTGCTGGCCTTGAGTTGCCATCTCAACAAGCAAGCTCACCCACTGGGAGGACGGCTCCCAGGGATGGAGGGTCTACCTCCTGACCCATCCCTTCTCCTCTGCCCCTTAGCCTTCCGGATCCCAGCATCATCCTCCATCACTTGGTTGGTCGGGTTGGCTGGATCAGAGGCTGGTCCCACAGCCCTGGCTGGCACCCAGGGGCAGCTCCACAGATGCGGCTGGTACTGCTGCTCTCACTGCTATCATGATTGACACAGAGCTCTGCAGGGGCCTGGGCCGGGGGGAGAGGAGGGTGACGTGGTTGTAGGAGCAGAGAGGACCCTGAGATTCCGGCATCTCGGGGCTGCGGCTGCTCTGGAAACCCTCGCTGACCCTTCCCTCGGCATGTCCCAGCCTGGCACCTTCAACCTTTCTAGAGGGGCCCCTGGGGTTGGGTCACATGCCTGTGACATCAGCACTGCCATGCGGGGCCCAAAAAGACAGTTTGGGGACATAGCGCCATGCCCCATGAACCCAGGGAGTCACCATGAAGGGTCCTGGGTGGTAAGCAGGGTGACAGCCAAGGCCAGGACCTCCCCAGACCGTCAGGCAGCAGGGAAGTGGGGTCATCCAATGTTTGCTGGCTGCGGTGGCCTCTGCAGGTTTCAAGGGGACGGACCCTCCCTACGGTGCAGCCGCCCCGCTGGAATCCAGGGAAAGTGGGAACCTCATAGCCTCATCTCCACCGTGTTCCCACCAGGAGGATGGAGTTTGGCCCCCTGTGAATTGGGGGCTCGGGGCCCGTGTGGACTTTCAACAGCATTTGCTGAGTGGCCGCTCAGGTCCTGGGCAGCCAGTATGGGGCCCAGTCACGACCCCCTTTCTGCTGACAGCGGTCCCAAAGGGTCAGCCAAGTTCTCCCACACAGGGATGGACCTGCCCTGCCAAGGCCCCATTTGGGCATCTCCCAAGCAGACCCCACCCACACGCCACACACAGGCCTCCCAATGTGGTAGTGACCTCAGCCCAGATGGTATCGGTCAGCTCCTGCAGACATCAGCGATGCCTCCCAGGCGGCAAACCGACCTCCATGCAGGCCCCCTTGCTGGCTGAGCCGCTGCCTCTCTCCTACTGTGCACACCAGGAGTGGAGCTGCTCCACACAGCAGCCCCTGCTGCCAGGGCCCTCCTTACGCACTACCTGCCAAGTGCCTGTCAGAGCTACAGAGAGAGCAGGGGCCGTGCCACGTGCCAGTGCATTCCTGCCCTGCACGGGCCACGCGTCGCCGGGCCGCTTCAAGGGACTCACCGTGCTGGTGGTGAATTCTGGAGGGTTGTCATTCACGTCCGTCACCGTGATGATGGCTGTGGCTGTGTTCGAGAGGCCGTAGTTGAGATTTCCTTCCATGTCTGTGGCTTGAACGATGACTGAATACTGCTGAACTTTCTGGAAGGGAGACACCGGTTGAGAAAGAACAGAATCAGTTTGGGTTGTAATTGACAGGGCACTTATGAAAAGAAATCTTTTCACAGGAACGGTGTTCTCTCTCATCAGTGCCATTTATGCTGGGTGCAGGGCCCTCGCCAAGCCTCCTGGCTGACTGCCTATCGGAGTCATCCCATCCCTCGCCATGGGTTAAGCTGAGGCAGGAAGAGGTCTGCTTGTGTTTTCATCTCAGTGGCCCTGCCTTTGATGGGGGTAGATCATGTTTGGTGCCAAGATAGAAGAGGGGAAAACAGGGGCACCCAGAGGGCCCTGGGGTTGCATTCGGTCTGGAAAACCAAGCAGGGACAGTTTGCAAAGAGAGGGACGCCCCGCAGATACGGGTCAGGAGGGACTTCGCTTCCTGAGTGTTTACCTCGTTCAGCTGAACTGCAGGTCAGAAATTAAAATGGGAAGAAAAGACAAATCCTCTCCCCTCTGTTTGCAGGTGTGGAGATGCAAGCACGCTTTCTGCTGGAAAATGCAGTCACAGAGCAGTTCACCATGCCGGTGCAGGTGTGAGCTTTAAAGGCAAATGAAGCTTGGTGGGATGAGTGCATTTTGTCAGACACCGAAGGAGTCTCACAGCCCTTCTCCACAGAGCCCTTGCTGGGAGCCCATCCGTGCTGAAATCCCTGAGTTGGCAGAGGTGGCTTTTCCACACCTCTGTTCTGACCAAGAGGCCATGAACTTCTGAGATGACAGCTGAGGACAAGCTTGTGGGCAGCTCCCTGCTGGGACCACAGCCTGCCTCTCACCGGCACCATTAGTGGAGGGGGATTCTGGGGACCAAAGCAAAAAGGGACCCTGTGAAATGCCCTCCAAGTGACTAATAATCCCGAGTCTTGCTTCTCTAAGAGGGTAATGGAAAAGTTCCTAGAAGTGTGATTCAGTGAAATGTGCTTAGCTTCATAAACTGGCTCCATAAGGAATTAAAAATAGCAGATGGTCACCAACCTTTTCTCTTTCCACCCATCATCCATCCATCTACCCGCCCACCCCATCCATCTATCCCCCTACTCACCCACCCATCCATCTATCCTATTCATTCACCCATCCACTTATCCAGCCACCCACCCATCCATCCACCATCCCCCTACCCACCTACCCATCCACTTATCCATCTACCTACCCACCCATCCATCTATCCCTCTACTCACCCACCCATCCATCTATCCTTCTATTCATTCACCCATCCACTTATCCATTCACCCACCCACCCATCCACCATCCCCCTACCCACCCACCCATTCACTTATCCATCTACCTACCCACCCATCCATCTATCCCTCTACTCACCCACCCATCTATCATTCTATCCACCCATCCATCTATTCATCCACCCACCCATCCATCCATCACTCTACTCACCCACCCATCCATCTATCCTTCTATTCATTCACCCATCCACTTATCCACCCACCCACCCATCCACCATTCCTCCCTCCCTCCCTCTTTCTACATTTCCATCCCTCTGTTTTTCTATCCCCTTCTCCTTCCCTCCAAGACCAGCCAACCCCAAGCCAAGCCAGCAGCTGATGAGAAATGGATGAATGAAACCAGCCAAGGCTGGAAGCATTTTCCAGCTGAGTCTAGCCCAAATCGCCAATTTGTGGATTTGTGAACTAAATAAATAGAAATAAATGGTGGTTGTTTTAGGCTGCTAAGTTTTGGGATCTTTTGTTACACAGCAAAAGCTCCCGGCATACACCATAACCCTTCACATGGCCACAGCACTCCGTATGTCATGGCTGCTAACCCCTTCTGTGGCTTCATCTTGAATAAAGCCCCCCAGCCCCCAGACATCCCTTTCCCATGGGATTCTCTTCAGCCCGGCATGCTCGAAGCTCAGCCTGCTCCTCACCCACAGCTTGTTTCTGGGTTGCACTTTTACGTTTGTTATGTCCTCCCTTAATTGTCGTCTGAGTTTTCTGACTGTGCAGCAGGCAGCCTCACCATGGACACTTCCTTCATTTCCCACCCAAGTTTCTCTTGTTCTTTACAAATCTGACTTTCTTCCCCCTCCCAGGATGGATTTGGAAACTGAAGTTGCTGGGGACTCTCAGCAGCCTCTTTCCTTGGCATGACGTCCTCCTCAGGCAGTGCCCCACTGCCTTCCTACACCGGCCCCCCTCGGCCACCTCTGTCCACAAAGTGGGGCCCTCAGGCTGCTCTCAGCTACATGTATATTTGGCTGTGGCCACCTGGCATGGCACCCCCAGAAGGACCATACTGGAAAACAAGAGACTGACACCAGCCAGGGGAGAGGGAGGGATCCAACTGGAGAAGAATGTCACCCCCTCACCCCCAGAGAAACTGCAGTCACAGGCTTGCAGTGACACCATTCTCCAAGTCTTCATTGCTTCTACTATTGAATCAGAGCCAGCTCATGGAAGCCACCCTGGCTGCTGTGCTTTCAGTGTATAGAAAAGAAATGCATTCTTTTCTATATATTGAAAATAACAGAGACATGTACAGTGTGTGTATGTGTGTGTACATGTGTGTATGTGTTTGTGCACGTGTGTGCATGCATGTTTGTGTACGTGTGTGCACATGCCTGTATGGGCATGTGTGTGTATTCAGGTTTGTGCATGTGTATATTCCTGTGTGTGCATGTGTGTATGCATATTTGTGCATGTGTGTGCATGCCTGTTTGGGCTGCGCATGCATGTCTGTGTGTGCATGCATGTTTTTGCACATGAGTGCATGTATGTGTATGCATGCATGTGCATACGTGTGCATGTGTGTATGCATGTTTGTGCACATGTGTGCATTCTGTTTATGTGCATGTGTGTGCGCATGTGTGCATGCATGTGTGTGCGCACATGTGCATGCCTGTATATGCATGTTTGTGCATGTGTGTGCATGCCTGTGTGGGCGTGTGTGTTTATACCACTGTATGTGTGCACGTCTGCATGCATAGAAACCCACACGGGCATGGATGTGCAGGCGTGTTATATCTGTGTGTGTGCAGCCAACTGCCACTAGAGGGCAGCTTGGTCTTGATTTTGGGAGGCAGGGCAGGGGTGTCTCCTGGCTGGGTGGGGCAGGAAGAAGGAAGAACTCTCCATGGGGACCCCCAGGAGCAGCCAGTAGCCTTCCAGTTGGCGGGGCTTCTAAAGCCCAGGCAGGGTCAGCCTGGCACCCCTGGGAGCACTGGGGAGGCGGGATCAGGCTCCTGACCTCATCACTGTCTCCACCTGCCCCTTTCCGGGATGCAGTGAGAGGGTGGGTGGGCAGGACCCAGGCATGTGCCCATGAGGTGGTCATGGGTGCTCCCGAAGACAGGCCGCCTGGCAGACATGGCCGGTCTGTATATAGCGGGCCTGGGCTGGCTTGGCTGGAGGTTTTGATGTCTTTATCTAAAAGGCTCACACTGGGCTGCACGCTTTTCCCTCAAGTGCATTTCACTCCTGTGAGGCAGGTAAGGGGAGCCTCGTGTTAACCACAAGGCAGGGCCCTGCTCTCAGGGGTGTCGGGTGCCTCCTCCCAGCGCCCCAACCAATCTTGCTGTGTGCATGGACCATGTGCAGCCTTCCACGGGCCTGTGTGGCCCAGGGGCATGGTGCCCTCCTGCTTTGCAGAAGATGAAGGCCTGGGACTCCTTGAGGTCAGGGGCTATGAGTGTCCCTGAGGCCTCATGGGACAAACAGATGACCCAGGACTCAGCTCTGGACCAGTGTTCCCTCTCCATGGCTGACATGTGCAGCCTCTGCTTCCCGCATAACCCTCGATGAAGGTGACTGGGTGGACAGCGGGAGCCCTGGACAGGCTGCTTTACCCTGTTGGACGCCTGCCCGCATCCTGGGTGGGGGCCACCACCCTTCCTGCTTCCGCCAGCTGCAGGGAACATGGCAGAGGTCTCTGGAGCCAGCCACACCATCAGCAGTGGAGCCACAATGAATTCATTAAAAAGTGATTTGGCCATTTTCAAGTTCAAGAGGAGGAAAGAAAACCACAGTGGGCCGTCCCTGGGGCTTTCGCTCACTTCCCTATAGCTCGGCATGTAAATTTTCCACAACAGCCATCAATAATGCAGCTGCTGGCCTGTCCTAGAAAGGCATCAAAGCTTCCCGAGTTGAGCATGCCCTGACCATACGCAGCGTGGGCTGGCCAGCCACGCAGCAGTGATGCACTGTGGCCCGAGCCGCGCCTGGAGCTCAGATCCTGAAGTTCTCCTGGTTGCTGCTCACACCCCAGCCACCATCTAGGGACGGTCTCATCTGCCAGGCTGCAAGCATGCCTCCCCCACCCTCTCTGGGTTCTCTGCACCCAGAGGCGGTCAGTACGGGGGTGTAAAAGGAGGCCCAAGGCCTGCAGCCCAGGCTGGCAGATGCCCTGCATCCCTTCCTGCTGAGTGAGCTATGCCAGTGCCAGTGCAGCAGTGGCTGCTGCTCCGGGAGCTTCTCTAGCCCCTCTCAGGTCAGCGGGATTCCTGCTGCTTCCTCTGGGACCACACCCTCCCCCAGGGCCTTCCCAGCTGTCACTGCTGGAACCTCCATCCGCTCAGAGGCTGAGAGATGGAACAGACAGAGGGCCAGGCCCTGCTCTGCGTCTATCCTCAGGCTGCACAGCACCTGGGGTCTCTCCAGTGATGGGGGCACGAAGATTAGATGCTGTGGGTGAAGTGAGTGCAGGCACTGCGAGTCCTCACAAGTGAAGAGTCACCGCATGGCCTGGCAGCTCCCCTCTTGGGTGTGTATCCAAAAGAGCACAAATCAGGGATTCTGAAAACACCTGCATGTCCTTGTTCAAAGCAGCACCATTCACAGCAGCCAAAAGCGCTGAATGGTCAGGTGACCCGTGAGTGATGACTGGATAAAGAGAACACGGTTCTATGTGGGACCATGGAATATTACCCAGCCATAAAAAGGCAGGAAGTGCAGACATGAGCTGCCACGGTGACGCTTGGTGGAGGAAGCCAGACACGAAACCCCAGGTGTGGAATGAGCCCACTTACAGGG